ACCTCCAGCTGGACTAAAATGTTTGCTGTCCACCCCCACCCGTTCAGGGTCGGAGCCTGGGAACATGTGAACTCCGCTGGGGGCAGGGAGAGGCAGGCAGGTGTCTGCAGTCAGAGCTGGGAGATGCCTCTCTGCTCACCCTTCACCCCAGTGCTCCCCCGGGGTCCCGCGGGCACCGCACACCACCCTGGTCCCGCTCCCGGCTCCTGTCCCCTCTGCTTCACGTGGGAGGCTCCGAGGGGCTCTTCCAGGGCCACCTGCAGGGGTGAGGCCTCTGCAGGGCCTCCGGCTCCCGGCTGGTGGGGGCGTGACGAGCCCCGAGCCCCACCTCCACCCAGACAGCATGTTTCCCCCCACAAAGGTCGCTGTGCCCCACGCTATAATTTTCCTTTCTCTTCCCGTTGGTGGCGGTGTTTGTGATTTGTTGTGCTGCCTGGCAGAATTCAATAGCCCCACAGGAGATGGATGCCTGCTTTTGTGTTTGGGGAGGGCCGAGCGTGTGACTCCCTGCTGCATTATTACAGCCTTCCTGAGCACGGCCCCCTGTCCCCTCGCCTGCCCCTCCCCATGACCACCTTCCTTCTCGGGCTGAGTTTCAGGCTGCAGACTGCAGACCCCCAGGCTGCAGTGGGCTGCTTTGGGGACCTCACAGGTCACGGCCCGACACGGCGGCCTGACCACCAGCCGGGTTTTGGAGGCGTCACCTCCCATCCACTCAGTGCTGCCGGGGGAGACAGCAAGCCGGCTGCCGCGCTGGGGGGCCCAGGATGGATGGGGCTGGGCCTGGCTCTGGGGCTTGAAGGAGATGCCCTAAAACTAGAGTGTGATGCTGGTTTCACAGATCTGTGAGTTCACGCACAATCATGAAATTGTAGACTCGGGATGGGTGAGTCTCACGGCACGTAAATGATACACCAGCGAAGATCTACATGCTGCTGGGCCTACAGAGTCTGCGGGGGGTGTGGTCCAGGCCTGTCTCCGCCGGCACTTCCCTTGGCTTCAGCTCCTCCATCTGTGAAAGGGGAGGGGTTCCCAGAGACCCCTGTACCCTGCAAGTCTGGGCATCATGCAGCTCTGAACCGTGCCCCCAGCCCACATTCCTGGGCTGCTGGAGGCGGGGCGGCAGGGGGCTCTGGGGGCCACCCCCTCCCAAGCCGCCCGGACGTGTCTGGCCTGAGGGTGCCCGTGCCAGTCGGCACTGGGTCACCACGTGCAAGCACATGGATGTCTGTCCCACGGCCTTCTCTCAGCATCCACAGCCTGGGGGGCGGCGTTGCGGGGCTGTGGGCCAGGCAGGCTGCGGCCCCCCGAGCGCGTCTGTCCTAATAGAACCCCAGTGTCCAGATAGCACGCCAGCGTGCGGCTGTGTGTTGGGACTTGCCATTTCGAGCAATTGCTGAGCATTCACTGCGCAAGCAGGGGCCCTTGGCACGCAGACCTGGCCACCCCAGGGCATCACCAGCTCCTGCAGACGCAGAGGAAACCAGGCCCAGGAAACGGAGGGTAGAACAAGTGAGGGCAGCAGCCGCCAGTGGGGGAGAGAGCAGAGCACGTGGGCAGCAGTCAGGGCTCCTGCAGAGACACAGGGAAACGCCCCGGGGCGGGACCCCTGTCAGAGGCCAGCGAGGCCCCAGACCTCATCCAGAGCACAGGGTCACCCCCACCTCCAGGCTCCCCCCTGCGGGCCCACCACTGTCAGGAGGGCGTGGAAGAGGGAGGTGCCGCCTGCAGGGTGAACTTCAACCTCCTTGACTGATTCAGGGATGTGACTGAGGCCGGGCCCAGGGGCAGGGGCTCTTGAGCAAGACCCAAGCAGCGATGCAGAAACAAAAGCCCCTGTGTCCCTGATGTGTGAGTTTCTGGGAGAGTGACCTTGCATCCCCACCGCAGACCACACATGAGAAAGGGACATGTTTGGATGCCAGGGTGCGGGGGTGACCGTCATGGACCCCAATCCACTGTGAAGCCTATCTGCCTCCTCCACAGGCATATCCGATGTGGTTTCTGTTTGGATTCACTTTCAGTTCATCTGTGCCGATGGCCAGTGTGACTCCAAACCCACGTGAAGCCTCAGGCTTGCACGGTGTGAGCGCCCGCAGCAGGACCACAGAGGCCAGGCCAGGTGCAGCCCACGGGGGAGCCCCAGTCGACCCCTGGCTCCCACCCCTGCTAAGGGGACTGGCGCCTGCTTCCCTTGCACAACTCTTCCAGTTGGCCCAGATTCCTGTTTTCTCCCGGGATTGCCAAGAAAATGTCCCCCGTGGCATCTGTCCTGCCTTTCTCGTGATTGAACTTGAACTGACTGCCCCCAGCAGATGAGGCTGTGAGAACAGATGGGGTGGGTGGAGCTGAAGGCAGCTTTTCCAGGGAAGCTGAGTCAGTGAGGGAGGGCCACAGGGGCGGATGCCAGGGGCAGGTCCTGGCCAACACGGGGCGCTGCTGCCCAGGGGGCCGCCCACCTGCCTGTGTGTGTCCCCAGGGAGGGGGCGGCTCTGAGCACAGGCCACGCTCCCTGCTTGAATCACCAGATCTTGTTTCTGCTGAGCTGGCTACCGACTTGCCGGCATTCCTGCTCACCCCTGGCCTGGGGGGAGACTGACTCCTGCAGTCCTCTGTCTACTGATCTCACGTGGGCGTGCGGGTTCCCGCTGTGCCTCACTGGGGCACAGGTGCCCAGAGATGACGTAACCCTGCCGCCAACCAGCTCCTGGATGCCTGAGGTCCCCTGAGGCCAGCAGGGTGCCCTAGTGAACAAGGGCACGTGGGACGTGCCCACTCCCGGAGCTCCCACAGGCGGGGTAGAGGGCCACCATGCTCGACATCAGCCAGCGGCGGCCCAGCTGTCTCCACCCAAGTGGCAAGGAGCAGGCCAGATGGGTCTGCCCCGAAGACCTGCCCTTGGCTAAAAGCAAGGACACTGCGCATAAACAAGGGCTCCCTCTGCGCGGACAGCTCCAGAGTCTCCTCCACACACCATCCTCTGCTCCCCCATCCAACCCTGCTCCCCTGGGGACCCTGCTGCCAAATTCTTCGAAATGCGATTGGCCAGAAAGAGAGACAGAGGCAGAGATGGACAGAGAGAGAGCCGGAGACACGGAGGCAGAGAGACAGAGAGAAGAGAAGAGGCAGGGGAGAGGGAGGGACACAGGTCTGCTGCCTGGAGCCTGGGTGGTCCCCAGGGCGTCACACAAGGGGACCCTGCCAGAGGGCAGGAGGGAGACAGGGGAGGCGGTGGGTGTGGGGAGAGGTCAGGCTGGGACAACTTGCCCCAGGGCCAGGGGATGGGTGGAAAGAGCAGCCCTACCCTCCACCCCCTAAAATCGCAGCCGGCAGCCCTGAGACGACGTCGCCGGGTCACAGGAGTCCTGGGCTGTGTGCTGTCCAGACTCCTGGAGTGTAAACCATGAGTTACTTCCCATCTCCAAGGCTCGGCTTCCTCGTCTGGAAAACGGGGAGGAGTCTGCTCCCCTTCCAAGCCGGGCTTGCCGCGTGCGATGCTCCAGTCAGCCCTTCAGGAACCGGGGCCCCCTCCTCTGACCCTGAGGTCAGCTCAGTTCACACGGGGGCCCCCTCTGACCCCAAGGTCAGCTCGGTTCACACGAGCTGATCCTGAGATCAGCTTGGGTCACCCAGGGGCCCCTCCCCTGACTCTGAGATCAGCTTGGTTCAGATGGGGGCCCCCTTCCCTGACTCTGAGATCAGCTTGGTTCAGATGGGGGCCCCCTCCCCTGACTCTGAGGTTGGCTTAGTTCACACGGGGGCCCCCCCTGACCCTGAGATCAGCTTGGTTCAGATGGGGGCCCCCTCCCCTGACTCTGAGGTCAGTTTGGTTCACACGGGGCCCCCCCTCTGACCCTAAGGTTGGCTCAGTTCACACGGGGGCCCCCTCCCCTGACTCTGAGATCAGCTTGGGTCACACAGGGTCCCCCCTCTGACCCTGAGATCAGCTTGGTTCACACAGGGGCCCCCCCTCTGACCCTAAGCTTGGCTCAGTTCACACGGGGGCCCCTCCCCTGACCCTGAGATCAGCTTAGTTCAGATGGGGGCCCCCTCCCCTGACTCTGATGTTGGCTTGGTTCACACGGGGGCCCCCCTCTGATCCTGAGATCAGCTTGGTTCATATGGGGGACCCCTCTGACCCTGAGATCAGCTTGGTTCACACGGGGCCCCTCCTCTGACCCTAAGGTTGGCTCAGTTCACACGGGGGCCCCTCCCCTGACTCTGAGATCAGCTTGGGTCACACAGGGTCCCCCCTCTGACCCTGAGATCAGCTTGGTTCACACGGGGGCCCCCCTCTGACCCTGAGATCAGCTTGGTTCACACAGGGGCCCCCCTCTGACCCTAAGCTTGGCTCAGTTCACACGGGGGCCCCTCCCCTGACCCTGAGATCAGCTTGGTTCAGATGGGGGCCCCCTCCCCTGACTCTGAGGTTGGCTTGGTTCACACAGGGGCCCCCCCCGACCTTAAGGTTGGCTCAGTTCACACGGGGCCCCTCCCCTGACCCCGAGGTTGGCTCAGTTCACACAAAGCTGGAGATTTTGTCCAAAGGGTGCTGCCCAGCCCGAGGTTTGTCTGTTACCCCCGGCCCTCAGGAAACTGGTGACGTCAGTCCTGCTGTCCGTGCGAAGCACATGTGACCGGCAGGGGATGGCAGGGCCTCCACGTCCCCTGGGCAGTGGGCAGGGCTCTGGGCCCTTCCTTTTCAACCTTGGATGCTCCCTGGTTGGTCCTAAGGAATGCTGGGTCCCTCAGCAGTTGGTGTGTCTAAGACAGAGGCCCTGCACTCCAGGAAAGCAGGCGTTGCTTGGCAAAGGCCTCTGGATGGAGCTGAGCGCCTGTGTCCCCGGGGCTGACCTCTGCCAGCTAGCTCCATCAGCTTCCCCGCAGCCACAGGAGTGGACGGTGGCTGACCTTCCCTGCTCGGTCACTGTCTGTGTGGGACCCCAGAGGTCACCGCCGGGGCTTGTCCAGAGCAGCCTCCTTGCCTCGTCACTTGCTACCTGGTTTGGCAGGAGCCCACGGGCTTCTCCCACGGCCCAGGTGCACAGCCCTGGGGGGGCTTCAGAAAAAGGGGCTGGGCCTCCCAGGACAGGCCATCAGCGTCACGTGGAAGTGTGTGCAGAAACACGCGCAAAGCCGAGTCTGCCGTACAGACCTGTCGAACCGAGAGGGCAGGGCTGCAGGGAGTCAGTGCATTTGCAGGGCACGGAGCTTCCGGGGGAAGTGCAAGTTGTGGGAGATGGAGGGGTGGGACCCTCGCCTGCGGGAAGCACCGTGACTCGTGGGTGCAGGCAGGGAGGGTCCTCCTGGCCCCAGAGATGAAATTGTACCTAAAGAAGCATATGCGAGTGGGGGTGTCTTCAGCTGGACTCCCCCTCATGCAAATACCTACTCTGGCCAAAGAGGAGTTCAAGATGATGTGCCCGACTCTGTGGGGCCCATCCTGGTGCCAGGTCTCCGCCACATGTACCTTCGTCTTATCCATCCTCCCCGCTCCATCACCTGGCAGGGGTCCCCCAGCCAGTGGGATTTCTGCCGTCGGTTTCACCTCTAGCCTGTCCTATCGGGCCTCTTTTCCCAATAAAATAGATTGCTTTCACCTGAATGCTTTTCTTCCTTCTGAAAAATCATCTAGCTTTTTCTTTTAGACTCTTATTTATTCTGCCACCTTTTCATGGATCTTGAAATGTCCAGATTATTTCACAAGTCCTGTAGCAAGCCCCAACCAGCCCTTGTACACAAGAAAGTCACATCTGTGTCATTTAAGATGACTTTAGAGGGACCTTACCTGTCCAGGCTGACCCCACTGCCTGGCTTTCTCCCCAGAAAAACCAAAGTCCAGAGACACAAAGAGAATGAGCCAGAGCCACAAGCAAGGCCAAGTTCTAGACCATGACTGGAAGTCAGGCATCCAGGCCACACCACTCCATGCTGTTTGGAGAATGAAGCGTCTACAGAAAGAGGGCCACCAGCAAGGTCAGGACGCTGTTTGGAGGGAAAACCAGCTGAGAAGGCCCTCTTCCCACTCCTGGGGTTAGAGCCAGGTGCTGCCAGGCTGATCCCGCACTGACCAACGAGAAAGAGCGGAAACTTGCCAGGAACCCCAGGGGACACCTTTCCTTTCCTTGTGAAAATGGCCAAGCGGCTGGCGCTGCCCTCTGAAGGTAGACACGATCCAAGGCAGCAGGAGAAGGGCCAGGACGATCCTGGAGCTCGGACACTGTGCCAACGGCCACCTGCACCCAAGTCACTTGCGGCTGGAGGGCAGCTCATGGGCAGGCCAGCGGGACCGTCATGGGCTGTGAGCCTGGTGGGCATCCACAGCCAGGCGCAGGGAACCCCAGCTCCCGGCTGGAGAACCAATCAAGGCAAGCGGAACAGTTCCTCCCATGGCATCTACCCCATGGTGTGCGGCGTTTCTAATTTTAGAACACAGGTTGTCATGGCAACGGGATGTGGGCTTTCTGTTAAATATAGCAGCTGTTCCAGTTTAGTAGTGCCCTGTGGACAGGAGTGAGTTTTGCTTTGGAGGTACTTAGAATACTACGTGTCAGCCAGGATGGAAAATCAGTCTTCCCCAGACACCCGGGGAAATGCATGTGATGAACTGTGTTTCTAGGAGGTATGACAGCCCCAGGCAGATTCCCTGCTCCGTGGGGCGAGGAGGCCAGGCTGGGGAACCGTGGACGGGGTCCCTGCTCCTGGGAGCGTACGAGAGTGTCGCCTGCAGGACAGGAATGCAAGCTCGAGTCTCCCTGGTGCCCAGCAGGTCCCCCCGGTGTGGCCCCAGGAACGCAGTGCTGTGTCCCCCAGGAAGGACAGAGCATGCGGCAGGTGTGAGCACAGCCAGTCCTTCCCGGCTGCCTGCTTCCTGGAGAAGGAAGACCAACAGTCCCCAGCGGAACCACAGAGATGGGGGATTCTTTTGGGGACCTGCCTGTCCGCAGGAAGAAGACCAGCACTGCTTCTCAAGATCACGGGGACAGGGCAGCCTTGTTGGGGCCGGGGGTCTGTCTGTGGAGCTCGGGCTGCAGCGGACAGACAGGCAGGGCTCAGAGCCCCAGGCTGGGCTCACCAGGCACCTTAGAGGCAGGTGAGCCCTCCTGTGGGTACCGTGCTCTGGCCCACACTGCTGCTTCACGTCTGTCTCTGAGTTCTCAGGGTGCAGGGCAGTGACGCCCCGGAGGGACCGCAGAGCCCCCAGCAGGGATGCAGATGGCTGCTTGTCGTCATGGAAACCAGCTCATCTCTGGCTCTTTCCTAAGAGAAGTTAGGCTCTAAGGATGCAGTTTGTACAACACAGGGAGTATAGCTCATATTTGGTGATAACTGTAAATCAGCTATTGTAACCTCTAAAATTATATAATTTTTTAAAAATCACAGTGGCAATTATATACATAAAAGAATTCTCTCCTTGGGAACTATAATCTCTGATCCAAAAAATGCCCTTTTGGAGGAGAGGGACAGCTCTCTACAACTCTACATTATGACATGCCATAATCACTTTGGTGCTTCTCTGTTGAAACACGAACCCCCTGTATTAGTAACTTGTTTCTGCTGGAACAATTGATCACAAACTTAGAGCCTTTGAACAGCACACATTTACTGTCTCGCAGTTCTCTAGGTCAGAAATCCAGCACAAGTTTCCCTGGGCTAACATGTCTACAGGGCAGTGTTCTTTCTGCAGACTCCAGAGAGGAACCCATCACCTTGTCTTGTCTGGCTTCTAGAAGCTGCCAGCGTTCCTTTTTCCTCTGTCTTCAAAACCTACTGGCATTGCATCTCTCTGATCCTTCTGTTGTTGCACTTCTCTCTGACCATAGCTGGGGAACATTCTCCACTTTCATGAATGGTACTTGGCTATCTTCATAGATGCTTTAGTTGCCTAAGTGTGAAGTCGCTCAGTCATGTCCGACTCTTTGCGACCCCATGGAGCCCACCAGGCTCGTCTGTCCATGGGATTCTCCAGGCAAGAATACTGGAGTGGGTTGCCATTTCCTTCTCCAGGGAATCTTCCCGACCCAGGGCTCGAACCCAGGTCTCCCGCATTGCAGGCAGGCGCTTTAACCTCTGAGCCACCAGGGAAGCCCAACTCTAAGTTGCTTAAGTAGTTCTCAAAAAGTCCTTGAGAAAGCACAGTCATAAATACCTGAGCATATCTGGCTTTCACCCACTCATCCATCCATCTATCCTTCCTCCTATCTACCCATCCACCCCATCCATCTGTCTGCTCATCCATCCATCCGCTTTCCATCTCCAGGTCAGCATAGAAGCAACACGCTCACCCCTCCTGTGATACGCCTTGTTGCTGTTGTTCATTCACTCAGCCGTGTCTAGCTCTTTGCGACCCATGGACTGCAGCACGCCAGGCTTCCCTGTCCTTCACCAACTCCCGGAGCTTGCTCAAACTCACGTTCATTGAGTCAGTGATGCCATCCACCCACCTCATCCTCTGACGTCTAGTGACAAAATATCTCAGACAGACCAATATCTGGATTCGAAAGTCTAGCTTTGGACTATTAACTTCTCTGCCTTTTTTTTTTTATCTTTAAATTTTTAGTAATATTGTGAGTACATAAGACAGGTGTATCAAGCACCCAGCTCATCTTCATACCTTCACAACCAGTTTGTTCAACAAATATGACTGTGCACTTACTGGGGCCGAGTGTGCACTGGTGGATGCAGACCATGGGCGCGGGTACCCAGTGGCATTTCCACTGGATGGACAGAGGCAGCTGTGGGTAAGGATGAGCTTAGATGTGGAGGCTGGGGAGCCAGCCCCACCCTCACCCCAAAAGCTCAGGCAGAGGCTGAGGAGGAGCGTGACTTGGGGCTCACTGTATTCCCCACCCCCACCCTGCTTGGTTTGGAATAAGCAGCTTAAATCCGCTGTGGGTCCCCTGAGACGTCTCAGAAGGGGAAGGAGTAATGATGCATATTTTATCAGGTGGAGGATGCGCTCGCTGTGATTGATACCTTGGTTGCTCTCAGTCCCGGAGGACCACTACCAGGAGAGGGGTGAGAAGTCTGCCTCATCCTGTGAGGTCTCCAAGCCGCAGCTCCAGTCAGGGCTGTGGGTGGCAGGGCAGTGTGGAGGGCACGGAACCCTCCGGCCCACCCCGGGGAGCACAGAGGACTCGTGGAAGGATGGAGGGCTTGCTCTGCAGTGTTACTCACATTCCAGGCCGTGGTTCTGTACTTTTCACTGTTTTCATCAGATCATGTGCTCAGAAGAAAGACGATTGTGCTTCATTTGTGGGCAGGACGGGGTGGAGATGTGCTTCTGAGGAGCCGGAAATTCTTGTGAAGCCCAAACTTGAGAGTTTGTTCTAGCAGATGCCCCGTCCTTGTGCTGAGCGTTGCCGCTAGCTTGCTTCCCAGGGCGGCGGGAGAGTGACTCATGTGCGCTGGGGCGTGGAGGGCCCTGCCGACCAGTGGGTCCACCTGGCATCTTCAGACTGAGGTGCTGCCCCTCCAGGGGAGCCACTGGGTGTTTGTGACAAGAAGAAGGACTCCTGGAGGACCGGGCACCATGGCTGAGGCGCTGGAGACTTCCAGAATGAGGAGGATAAAGCAGAGACTACCCCCACCACGGTTGCAGCACACAAGGGGTGTGACCAGTCAGGAGGGGTGAGCCCACCCCATCCCACAGGCCAAATTGAGCCTCCGTGGGAATAAGGCCTGGACCCCTTTGGAGCAGCAGGGCCCTGGCTATGGGCAAGACGAGGGCTAGCTGGGCGTCCAGCAGACCCGGCCACACCATCAACCCTCTGCAGGGTGTTCAGGAAACATGGCCTTTTCCAGACCCCGCCCCGCCTTGAGGGGTCTGGATTCTGAACCAAATCAAACAGCTTGGTATCCAGAGGCCCGGAGGGGCGTTGCCCCATGCCCAAGCTCACACAGGCGGGTGGGGATGAGCTGGACAGCAGGCTTCCCGGCCTGGACCAGGACTCCTGTGTGTCCCATGAAGGTCCCGCGTCCGCCACCAGGCAGTCTTGCTGCTGTCGAGCTGCTTCTCCAACCTGACTTGCCCTTGTTCAGAAACGCGCGCGCGGGACAGGGGTGGCCCACGCAGGCGCCTCCGTCTCCCGCTCCGTCCGCCGGGGTAGGATCTGCTTGTTTAAAGCCCTGGCGGCTTTTGCTGTCTCCTCCCCG